AATAATATATATATATATACTAGTATATATATATATATATATATATATACATACATTATATATATATACATATATATACATTTTATATATATATAAAAATAAATAAATAAATAAATAAATAATATATATATTTTAGACAAAAACATTTAATACTATACAAAATACCACATTAAAAATAGTAATAATGTCAATAGTAATAAAAATAGCAATTATATATACATGTACACACACACACACATATATACACATTTATAGACATACATTTAGTATCAATATCTCTACCGATATCTATATCTATACATATAGATACATAGATATACATATATGCATGTATACTACAAGCACACATGCATAGTTCTATAAGCTGAACGTTTCATTTGTGTAATGATACAAATATATATGTATTCTAGTGTGTATACGCAACCTAGAACGGGTATGCTTTCATATGACTCGATACCTGCGAATGTAAAATCTTGACGCTTAATGTTTCACAGTGCTATATGTCTAATTATATATTATTATGTCTAAAGAATAAGGTAGAGACTACAAATTCGACTGAATAGTATAGATGCCTTATAAAGAGGCAGCGCGCATACAATGTAGTTACATACTTATGTAATATAAGAATATTCACATACGTACACAGTCGGAATAGCCATTTGCAAGTGTAGCGAATACAGTGGACGGCATGGTAGACAAGTCGCACACCACTACCCAACTTTCAGTTTTTCTAACTTACGCTCTGTTTTAAGTTCTGTTTCGATTCATACATAGCACAATACTTTACGAAAGGAATACGTACACTGTCGGAATAGCCATTTGCAAGTGTAGCGAATACAGTGAACGGCATGGTAGACAAGTCGCACACCACTATCCAACTTTCAGTTTTTCTAACTTACGTTCTGTTTTAAGTTCTGTTTCGATTCATACGTAGCTCAATACTTTGCGAAAGGAAGGCACAGTTGCGATATCTTCGTCCGCGATAGAAAATACATATTCAATATCTGCTCTGCTTTTAGGTTCGATATACTTGAAACCATGCGACTGGGGCTTCTTGGGCCTATTCAAATGTATTACACTTGTTCTATAATATTAGCAACGACATATATTGGCACCTTGGATGCAACCAAACCAACTCATTACGTCATAATTTCTCGTACACGGGTGTCTAAATTTAATTCTTACCATTTTAGTTGTATCAGACTCACTGAACAACTGATTTTCATGCTTCTCTGACATAACCACATTCATCTTTTGTTACCCAGTCGCTCGAGTTGTTCATCCAAACCTACGAATGTATACAGTTATACACTATTAACTGAACATCGTCAATGCTTGGTTTGCCAAATATTTAGCCTCCTTGTCTCTTCCTCTAAATATGTAAATATTTAACTACTAGTAGTACACAATGAACTGTACTGTATTTTTCTTCTTCAAAAACAAATATATGTTTAGTTAAAAAAGGTACCGAAGTGCATTTATTATAGTTATTTATAGAACGGTTGTCGTCACAGGTATTTTTGGGGGGCCTTTGAATAGATATTAATAAATATCGCTGTTTGTGAATTGTGACACTGTCGTGTTTTAAAGAATGCCGGCTATATTTTATGTTGTTCTATTTTCAA